TCGTGGTTGTCGGTCATCATCATCACCATCATCATCATCATCCTCATCATCATCATCATCATCGGTACACCCCTCACACGTTTCGTGGCCCCATGGGGAGCTCCACCGAAGGCCCAAATGGCTGCGTCCGCATGCCGCCGCCACCCAATTTTGGCACACCCCTCACACGTATCGCGGCCCCATAGGGAGCTCCACCGAAGGCCCAAATGGCTGCGTCCGCATGCCGCCGCCACCCAATTTTGGCACACCTCTCACACGTTTCGTGGCCCCATAGGGAGCTCCATCTAAGGCCCAAATGGCTGCGTCCGCATGCCGCCGCCACCCAATTTTGGCACACCCCTCACACGTTTCGTGGCCCCATAGGGAGCTCCATCTAAGGCCCAAATGGCTGCGTCCGCATGCCGCCGCCACCCCAATTTTGGCACACCCCTCACACGTTTCGTGGCCCCATGGGGAGCTCCACCGAAGGCCCAAATGGCTGCGTCCGCATGCCGCCGCCGCCCAATTTTGGCACACCCCTCACACGTTTCGTGGCCCCATAGGGAGCTCCATCTAAGGCCCAAGCGGCTGCGTCCGCATGCCGCCGCCACCCCATATTCGGCGCACCCCTTACACGTTTCGTGGCCCCATGGGGAGCCCCACCGAAGGCCCAAATGGCTGCGTCAGCATGCCGCCGCCGCCCAATTTTGGCACACCCCTCATACGTTTCGTGGTCCCATATGGGAGCTCCATCTAAGGCCCAAATGGCTGCGTCCGCATGCCGCCGCCGCCCCATTTTTGGCACACCCCTCACGCGTTTCGTGGCCCCATGGGGAGCTCCACCGAAGGCCCAAATGGCTGCGTTCGCATGCCGCCGCCACCCCATTTCGGCACACCCCTCACACGTTTCGTGGCCCCATAGGGAGCTCCACCGAAGGCCCCAGTGGCAGACCTCGCATGCCGCCCGCCACGACGACAGCCCCACGGGGGACCTCGCGGGCCCGCTGGTGTTCATCGAGCCCCGCACGTCGGAGCCGTTCACCTTCCGCACCTCCAAGGTCACCCGGACGGGCTTCCCGTTTTCACACGGCAGGGTCATCACCACGGTGGCGTGCCAGGGGCGCACCATGCGGGAAGGCGGCGGGGCGGGGGAACGGCGCCACCGGGCAGTCTACGGCCGAACCCTTCGAACGCGAGCGGTCCGCAGCCGGACCTTCTCGGTCCCGTGGACTCTCGCCCTGGGCCGTCGGCTGTCTTGCGCGCCGCTCCCTCGACCGACGCCGCCCAGGCGTGATCCTGGACTGCGGCCGCCACGAGGTCGGGAACGGCAAGAAGGAGGGCGACGACTGGCGGCTGGAGCTCTACGCGCTGCTCTCGCGCGCCACGCGCCACGAGGATCTCCTGCTCATGCGGGCGCCGCTCATCGAGTTCTCCCTGGCAGGGCCGCCGGAGGGCTTGCGGAAGCAGCTGGGGCAGTTTGCTGCGCGCACGAAGCGGTGCAGGAGGGGGGCGACGGCCCTCGCCAGAGAATTGGGCTTCAGCGAGTTCATCCGCGAGGCCTGACCTGGGGAGCGGCCCCGCACGAGCCAGCGGCGCGCGCTGGTTGTCGCTGACGCTTGGATGACCCCAGCTCGTCGTCGGGATTTCTCGCCAGAGGATGACCGGCGCCGGTCGGGGCATTTCACCCAGATCGCGCCATTTTCGCACGCCTCACCACGCAGTACGGGGGCGCTATCCGTTGGCTCAGAGTCGCAGTGGACAACCCCCGCGCGTCGATGGGGTTCCCTCGGGATGACCAGACCGCGTCGGCGAGGACTTCCCAGGCGCTTTCGCGCGGCGCCGCCTGCGCGCTGCATTCTGCGCGGCTTGCTGTCGGCCTGGAGGCAAAAACGTCTCCCCTCGTCTCTCGCTCCTCCTGCTTCCCATCGCTTCTTGACCGCGCGCTTCCCCGTCTCGTTTCTGCCGCTGCTGACCTGCCTTCGACATCTACACGGTGTCTCCGTCACCTCTTCCTGCGTGCCCAGTTTCAGGTCTCATGATGCGATGATGATACTGATGTGTTGGCTCGCCCCAGTGAGCTCTCCTCCTCCGCCCGCCACCTCCCGCCCGCGCTGCCCTGTGCCTCGCCCATGCAGTGGCGCGGTGCCTATGAGAAGAGGGGCCTAGTTTGCGTGCCCCCTCCTTCGTCTCATATCCGTGCGGTACTCGCAGCTGCATATGGTTGGGTCCTTCGCCAGGCTAATTGTGTTTTCGGCGCCTGGTTCTCGGCGTTCGTTGGGTATTCGGCGCCGTTTGGTTCTCGACGCCCCTTGGCTTTTCGGCGCTCTTTTGGTTTTCGGCGCCCCTTTGGTTTTCGGCTCCTTTTTGGTTGTTGGCGCGCCTTCGGTTTTCGGCGCCCCTTTGGTTATCGGCGCTTCTTTGCGTTTCGGTGCTCCTTTGGTTTTCGGTGCATCTTAGGTTTTCGGCGAAATTTTGGTTTTCGGTGCCCTTTCGATTTCCGGTGCCCTTTCGATTTCCGATTTAGATCAGGTGGAACCCAGCTATTTGGCGAGGGCCGTCGCCTCCCTCCGGCACCGCTTCGTGCGTGCCGGAATTGCCCCAGCTGCTTCCGCAAGCCTCACGGCGGCCCTGCCAGGAAGAACTCGATCCGCGGCGCCCGCATGAGCAGGAGGTCCTCGTGGCGCGTGGGGCGCGAGAGCAGCGCGTAGAGCTCCAGCCACCAGTCGTCGTCGTCCTTCTCGCCGTTCCCGACCTCGTGGCGGCCGCAGTCCAGGATGACGCCTGGGCGACGTCGGCAAAGGAAGCGGCGCGCCGGACAGCCGACGGCCCTATGGGGCCACGAGACACCGCACTGGGCGCAGGAACCGCATGCGGCGGACTGCGCCACTGGGACCTTCGGTGGTATTGTCTTTGGGGCCACGAACCGCTGTAGTTGGCGCAGGAACCACATGCGAGTTCCGCCACTGGGACCTTCGGCGGAGCTCCCTGTGGGGCCACGCAACGGAGCACTGGGCGCAGGAACCGCATGCGAGTTCCGTCACTGGGACCTTCGGTGGAGCTCTGTGGGGCCACGAAGCGTTGTACTTGGCGCAGGAACCGCGTGCGAGTCCCGCCACTGGGACCTTCGGTGGAGTTCCCTGTGGGGCCACGCAACGCAGCACTGGGCGCAGGAACCGCATGCGAGTTCTACCATTGGGGCGTTTGGTGTAGCTCCCTGTGGGGCCACGAAATGCTGCACTGGGCGCAGGAACCGCATGCGGACTTCGCCAGTGGGACCTTCGGAGGAGCTCCGTGTAGGGCCACGAAGCGCTGTAATGGGCGCAAGAACCGCATGCGAGTTCCGGCACTGGGAACTTCGGTTGGGCTCGCACAAGAACCGCATGCGAGTTCCGCCACTGGGACCTTCGGTGGAGCTCCCTTTTGGACCACGAAACATTGCACTAGGCGCAGGAACCGCGGACTGCGCCACTGGGACCTTCGGTGGTATTTTCTTTGGGGCCACGAACCGCTGTACTGGGCGCAAGATACGCATACTGACCGCGCCGCCGCTGGGACTTTCGGTTGAGTTCCCGATGGGGCCACGAAGCGTTGTACTGGGCGCAAGAACGGCATGCGAGTTCTGCCACCGGGACCTTCGGTGGAGCTCTCATGGGACCACGAAGCGCCGTAGTGGGCGCAGGAAACGCATATTCATGGCTTCATGGGACGTTCGGTGGAGCTACTTCTAGGACCACGAAGCATTGCATTTGGCGCAGGAACCGCATGCGAGTTCCGCCATTGGGACCTTTCTGTGGAGCTTTCTATGAGGCCACGAGACACTGCACCGGGCGCAGGCACAGCATGCGAGTTCCGCCACTGGGACCTTCGGTGGAACTCCCTATGGGGCCACGAAGCGCTGCATTGGGCGTTAGATTGCAGTGATGCTGTTTCTTGGAAACGAGGACCCATCTCCACAGGATGATTCGGAACACCAAGTATCTGAATCAGGGTTGTTTCTAACAGTCTGCGGGGATAAGTCCGAGATTGCCACCGCAGTCAGCGGGATTGGCCCCAGGTGGCCGGGATTTGCCTCGACTGGCCAGGATGTGGTCCTCTATTGGCTTCCCCCCCGACCTTTGGAAAGGGAGGAAGGGTTAGCTTCAAGAGCGCGCAAGGGGAGGAGGGGGGGGAGGGGGAGCTTCCGAGGGGCCGGAAAAAAGGGGGGGGGGGTCCGGCAGTGGAGGTTCAATGGGGGGGTAGCTAAGCCCCTCCCCCTTTGGAAAGAGAGTGGGGGAGGAGTTTCCGGAGCGCGGAAGAGGGGGGGGGTCCGAGGGACGGAAAATTTGGGGGGGGGGGGGGGGCTTGCGGCAGGGCAGGTCCCAGGCGGGGGGCTAGCAAAGGGGGGGGGTCCCTTGGGAGTGCGCCGCGAGCGCGCTCTCTCCTAGATACCACTTGCCTTAACATCCATAACTAACCCCGCATATCCCAGTAGCAACCGCCGCGGTCATCTCACTAGACCACTCCAAGGTCCTTCCTGGCACGCTCCTTTCGAGGCGGGTCTGCCCGAGGCCCGACGGACGACCGACGCCAGGGCATCCGAGGAGGGGGTCTTCTCCAAAACTACCGCCTTGGGGATCGATTTTCGGAGACCTCGGCGGCTGGCGGATCTGGATGGATGGGGCGTTGCATACATGGCGTGGCCCTGGAGGAGAGCAAGCGATGCCATCTCTTCCTCGGCGGAAGGCGGCGGAAGGTCGGCGGAAGTGAAACGGGGCCGCCTCCGCCGGCGGAATCCGGCGGAAGGGCGGCGGAAGGTGGCAGAAGGTAGAAAGGGGTCCCCGGGAGATGACAACATTTTTGGGGCTCAGGGCTTCCAGAATCCGCCAGATCGGCCCCCCCCCCCGGGGCCCGGAGGTGTCCGCATCCGCTGCCTACGTCGAGTCCCCGATTGTCGATCCCTCCGGGCGGGTGTCGTGCATGGGCCCCCGCCTCGCAGGGAGGGCCGCCGTGGTCTCGACCGGGCCTCCTCCGATCTTCGCGAGGCTCTGTCGGCGGCTGGACGCGGCGGGCGAGCTGCGCGCCTGCCTCGAGGCGTGCGCGCAAGCGGCGGCCCGCGCGGGTGCGGGGCCGGGCCCGCGGATGCGAGTGCAGCTCGTGGAGGGCCTCCGCGCGCGCGGCGACCCCCGTCCCTCCGAAGGGAAAAACACAGACACAGACACAGACACAGACACAGACACAGACACAGACACAGACACAGACACAGACACAGACACAGACACACACACACACTCACACACACACACACACTCACACACACACACAGAGACACGATAAATCGTCGTTTCCCTAGAAAATATGGGAAAATATAGGAAGTGGGGGGGAAGACAAACAGCCAGACAATATTGGAAAATATTGGGACTCTGTTTATTTGCGTGTATTCATTTGTGTGTCCCAGGGCCCCTCCAGTCCCCCCGTCCCCCCAGACAGGACACGTTCCTTTCCTTCGGGCGATCCTCACCCAGAGACTGCGCGGCGGAACATCCACGGGGAGCCCAGCGCACCCCTTTGGGCCTTGCGGCCGCGGTGTGCAGTCGCTGCTCGTCGAAGGCACGAGGCGGGATACCCAGTGAGCACCAGCACAATTTGGGCTTGGCGGCCGCGGTATTCGGGCCAGGCGTAAGGGGGGGGGATAGGGAAAGGGGGGGGGTACGGAATCTGCTGCATGCAGATGGCTTCGGCCCCACCGAGGGGCCCAGTCCTCGATACATGGCCGCCTCCGGCGCCAGGAGGCGCTGGGAAAATCGGCTACGCGAGCTGGTTCTCAAACCCCCCCTTTGCTATCCCCCCCTTTTGCCCAGCCAGCCCGAGGTATGCAGGGTGTGCGAGGTGGGTCGGGAGCTCCTGTCTTTAGTTCTATCAACCTCAACCTGTCACCTGTCGGAGGGGGGGGAACAACGATAAGCATTCGCAACGCCTGCCTGGAGAGGGCGCCCCCCCCCCTTCTGTCTCTCCGCATCCCATCTCTGTCATAGTTTTAGCTACAGAATAGTTGGCTTGGCCAAACAACCTTCGGAGGTCCGCGCGGACCTTGTCGATTGGCGTTGGGCCCCAAGGTCCTGGCAGGCTAAACAATCGACCCGCTGAGCTCCTCACGTACTCGCGGCATTGGCGGCGTCGAGATGCGCTGCTCGTCGAGGCCTCGTGCGCAAATCGGGCAGCGACCGTTCTCCGCACCGACGATGGTCGGGCGGGCGCCGGAAGGTGAAGGAGGAGGAGGAGGAGGAGGAGGAGGTTAGAAGGATGTGACTCCTTGGTCTGGGGATGCTTAATTCAATCTTGGCATTCCGCGGTCGTCGAACCTTTCCCTCATCTGACTTCATGCTCAGTCGAGCGTGCTCCGGCCTCATCGTAGGCTTGAGTTGGCGCAGTCCGGAAGTGTGGCCCCGCAGTCGGACTCAAGATTGCTTCGGCGTGCCCACGAGGGCCTCCCACGAGTTATCTCCGGGGGAGGTGGCGTGAGGAGGATCGTCGTTTTTCATCAAGGGTAGTTTTGATAGTCCGAGGGGTTGGTAAAGGCCCTGGGAGGCAGACCACTGCCCAACACATTCTGCCGGGGAATCGTGCACAGGCGCGAGGGGTTCAGGGAGGAAGACGTAATGAATGAGTGCGGTGATGATGATGATGCTGATGCTGATGCTGATGCTGATGATGCTGATGCTGATGCTGATGCTGCTGATGCTGATGGTGATGATGGTGATGGTGATGGTCATGGTCATGGTGATGCGGATGGGGATAGGGATGGTGATGATGATAATGGTGCGGATGGTGAAGATGAGTATAATGCTGATGCTGATAAAGAGTATTGTGATGATGGTGATGATGATTCTGAGGATGATGACGATGCTTCTTGGGATGGTGGTGATTATGACTACGATGGTGATAATGATGGTGGTGATGATGACGAAAAAAGATGATGCTGATGCTGATGCTGATGCTGCTGCTGATGATGATGATGATTGCGAGATTGATGATGACGGCGATGATGCTGATGATGCTGCTGTTGATGATGCTGATTGTGGTGATGGTGATGATGAAGCTAGTGATGACAATGTTAATATTGATGCTGATGCTGCAGATGGTGGTGATGATGGTGATGATGATGATGACGATGTTGATAATAATGAAGCTGATGGTGACGATGATGATGCTGATGCTGGTGATGGTGATGGCGATGATGATACCGATGATGTCAATGTTGACGGTGATGCCGCAGATGATGGTGGTGATGGTAATGATGAGGATGATGATGATGGTGATACTGATGGTGATGATGATGCTGATGCTAGTGGTAATGATGAGGATGTTGATGATGGTGGTGGTGGTGATGGTGATAGTGATGGTGATGGCGATGATGATGGTCATGATGATGGTGATGATGATGATGATGACGATGCTGCTGGTGCTGATTATGATGCTGATGCTGCTGCTGATGATGATCATCATAGTGATGATGACGAGGAGGAGGGGGAGGAGGATGATAATGAGCATGATGAGTGTGTTGATGTTGGTGATGAGGAGCATAGTAATGATAAAGATGGTGGTCGTGATCACGGCGGTGATGATTATGATGATGATGATGACGATGATGATGATGATGATGATGATGATGATGATGATGATGATGATGATGATGATGATGATGATGATGATGATGATGATGATGATGATGATGATGATGCGTAGGAGGAGAAGGACGAGGAGGAGAAGGAGGAGGAGGAGGAGGAGTAGGAGAAGGATGGGGAGGGAGGAGGAGGAGGAGCGGGAGCAGGAGGAGCAGGAGGAGGAGGAGAAGGATAGGGAAGGAGGAGGAGGAGGAGGGAAGAGCGGGAGCAGGAGGAGCAGGAGGACGAGGAGGAGGAGGAGGAGGAAGAGGAGGCTGATGATGAGGATTCGGAAGAGGAGGGAGGCGGAGCAGCCGAGCCCTCCGAGGCAGCGCGAGCCTGGAGGCGCCGGCGGGGCGCCTTTCCCTCGGCACGGCGGGCGAAGCTGACCATGGAGCCCGGCGAGAAGGCCCGCGGGTCGGGGCCCGGAGCGGGTGCGCCGGGAGGGGGGGGGGCAGAGGAGGGCCAGGAGGCGTCGAGCAGTGACGAAGCGTCCTGGCTCGCCTATATAGCCCTACCAAGCAGTGTTCCAAGAGCCTTTTGGCGGTTTCCACGAGATGTTCTCAGAGCATTTCTGGCTGGGAGCGTCTTGGTTTCACACATCGGGTTTGTGTTCTGAGAACATTGTTTTGGTTCTTAGAACATTTTGGGGTTCTAGGAACATTTCGTGGTATGCCTATAAGAATGCAGGGACGGTCGGCCCCTGCTCGAGGAGGAGGCCACCGCCGTCGCCGTCGCTGTCGAAGCCACCGCCGACGCCACCGCCTGCGACCTTCCACGCAGCTATGGTGTGCAGGCCCCGGCCTCGGGCACAGCGGCAGTGGCGGTGTAGGCTCATGGGGGATGCACCGACCCCCACTTTCCCACTCATCGCCGACAGGGGCCCGATAACCCACCCCGCCTTAGAGCGTGCTGATCTTCACTCGGGGGCCTCTCGCCGATCTGTCGGCCAGAAGGCCCGCTGGGCCTGGCCGAAGCGGACGCACTGGAAGAGAAAACGCTTGCATTTTTTTGATTCTTGATCGGCGCCGATTTTTTTGTGGACCCCCTTTTCGGCGCCTCCGGCGCCGCGCACTCCGCGCGCCAGATATTCTCTACGATGTTTCAGGACAGATAAAAGTACCACTACCACCAGCCAGGGGTGTGGCCGCTCCCTCCCCTCAAGCTGGTGGCACCTCCTTCCGGGAACTCTCTGGAGGCATGCCTGGAACGAGGTGCCACCAGCTCGAGAGGGTGGGACAGCCACCCCCCTAGCTGGTGGTAGTGGTACTTTCGTTTCTGGTAAATGTTGCATCTTGCCGTGGTGCCCGATCTCAGGGTCGTCCTCTGGGAAGCTTCTCGTCGCTGCCCTGGGCCAGGCAGGAGGCGTGCTCTAGGACTGGCCCCGGGCGTCGGTTTCGGAGGGCGTCGGAGAAGGAGGAGGAGGAGGAGGAGGCCACGACGGTCTTGAACACATCGCGTCCCACCTGCAAAAGCGATGCTGGTCTCTTTCCGCACTCGCCCACCGGGTCACTGGATTTCGCCCCACAAAAGCATATTGAAACGCGAGTTGTTTTGTTTCAGTGTTCTTCGGGTTTCTATTGTTTCGTGTTTGAGGGCTTCCAGTGCGGTCCTAGAGGCCCCCAGATCAGAACAAGACGGCCCGCAAGGGGCCCCAAGACGGCCTAACAGGACCACGAGACGGCCCCAGAGTGCCCCGAGACGGTCTGATCCAAAGGGCCCCAAGGTTACCCAGAGAGGCCCCGCCGACGGTTTTCGATGGCGCTAAGCGGCCCAACAGTGCTGTATGCAGTTTCTTGTTCGTCCAGGGTTTGTGGAGCCAGCCACCCATCGTGGGCCCGCGACGGACCTGACCAGGATCTGTGTAAGTTGACGTCCTCATTCTCCACAAACGTCTGCAGCCGTGACTTTTCCGCGACGTAGATCCGGGGGTCACGACCCCTTCCCCAGGGCCGGTATTTCTCCGAGTGGCTTTTTTTGACCAGCCTGGGCCAGGGGCTCCTGGACGCCGAAAAGGAAAGAACCCTCCGATGTAACTTATTTGTGTTTTACCTCACGACGCGAGGGGGTTTGCCCACCCTACCTCTTCCTCAACCTCCCCCTCCCTCCTGCAGGTGGTCGGCATCGACCTTGGCACGACCAACTCGGCCGTCGCGGCGATGGAAGCCGGGAATGCCACGGTCGTCCCGGCCGCGCAGAAGGGGGTGCTTGACACTGGGGGGTGGAGGCGAGATACGATTTGCGGGGGGAGGGAGAAAGGGAGATAAGAGCGAGGAGAAGCGACTTCACCACCACCAGCGGTCCACCACCAATGAGGAGGTCCGTTGAGCTTCCACGAGCTGAATATTGGAAGTGTCTCGGGCCAGATTCCGCAAAACAGGGGAACCACATCGCCAGGATGTTCTTGTTTGGCTCTTGCCCCTAGTACCCAAGGGCTTGACGACTCCTTTCCTGTGGACTCGCGGCGATCAAGCTAGATTCCCCAAGCAGTGCTTGCACTTAGGGGTGCTTACTTTTGTTCTTAGGAACTTAGCCTGTGCG